CCCATGATACAGAAATAACATGATGAAGATTATGGGCTGCTAACAATTTGGCACTACAACATGTGTTTGTGGCAATCTTATTAGAAAGACAGTATTTTCCAAATGAAGCCAAGAAAGGCAACATCAGCAGCAATTTCAAGGGAGAGGCCAGGAAAGGAACTTTCAAAACCACCCATTTCTGGAAGTGTCTCTTATATCTGAGAGCTGAAAGAAAAAGAAATGTTTTTGAGTGGAGAAATAGCCTCTTGCACAACTGGTAAACTGCTGCCAAGCATCAACTGTTTCTAAAACTAAAAACCTGCCAAGTGACAGACATTAATCCTTTTGAAGAGGCCTATGGACAACATCAAAATTGTTTTAAAAGTTAAACAGATACGTATGACCTGGTTCTTCATTATATTACAGCCTTTTAATGCAATTCCAGAGATGCAAAAGGGTAATAAAATTAGCAGGGTACACCAAAGCATCATGGTTCCATACCACCTAATCACAGTTCCTGACACGGGGTTGAGGCTGAGAGCATGGCTGGGACACTGTGATTGTTTTCAGCAGCCAGAACAGTCTCTGAGGGCCACAGGAAAGCAAGAGTAAGTTACAGCAACATGGAAGCTGCTCTGACTTACGCCAGGAGCAGAGTAGGGCCCCAGCCAGCCAAGAATAAGGTTTGAAGTCCCCTTTTCCCCTCTACCCTGTTTCTATATCAAGTGTGGCTTGGATGGAACACAGAACTGAAATTTAGTGGGGAGAAAAACATTGAAACTTGACTCTTGTGGCTGTAATAGATCTATCTAACTATGTACCTCTGAAAGTGTCTTATGTTTTAGAAAATGCAGGAGAGAAAATTGGAAAACAGGAAGAGAAGAAAACAGATGGAGACAAAGGGGAAGCATAATGGTGGTTGGTGAAATAAAGATGACCAAGAACACAGGAATTATGAAGCACGAAACAATGTGTTAGGTGAAATGGGGAAAAAAAGAAAGAGGGTAAAAGGAAGGGAAAGGAAAAGAATAAGGAGGATGAAGAACAAGAGGATGGCGTAAAAGAAAGGGAGGAATAAGTATGAACAGAGATCACTTGATGCCATTTAGGAAGAATACATAACTCAGGGCTCCCTCATACATTATAATAAAGACAATACAAAGCACAAACATCAATCAGATCAGCATGGCTCTCCCAAACATTTCCAAAAGTATCATCCCTGGGAAATAAGAGGAAATGGAGGTCTGTTAGGCCATGTGTACACTACAAATGTTTGCTGCCACAAGTTATGTTGGCATAAAGCCACAAAAGTTAGCGTATCCCTTGGGCATGTCCTACTTGGCTCCTTGCATCAGTGCTGCATGTGCTTACCAAGAGCACTTGTGTCAATGCACAGTGTGGTGTACCCTGGTTAGGTATTCCAGCATGCAACCTGCTGCCATCCAGTGGGAAGTTTTAATAATACTTGGTGGGGAAGAAACAAGTTGCATGGGGTGACTGGGAGAAGTGGATCAACTTCCAGCATGCAACTGATTCCATTCCATAATGCTATCTATATCCCATATTTTTGGTGCCTTTTTAAAAAAAATCCCATGAACCCACTTGGCCCTCCTCGCTGTCCCCCATCTCTGTCAGAAGCATGGAGCCTGCACAGCTCTGCACTAGTGTCACAAGCATTGCAAGCACAGGGCACACAATCCTTCAGTATTTGCAGAGCTGCAAGAACCACCGAATCACTGGAGAACATGATAATTTCTTGGAGGACAGATTGCTATGGAAAATAGCAAGAAACAATTCAAGGTTGTTGGTGGCATTCATGGAGCAGCTGCAGATGGTGGAGCGGCATTTCTTGGCCTGAGAAAAACACTGACTGATGGGATTGCATTGTAGTGCAGGCTTAGGGTGACTAGAAGTGGCTGCAGAACTTTCAGATGGAGAAGACCATATTCCTGGATACGTGTGCTGAGCTTGCCCCAGCCCACCGGCACATGGACAGCAGAAAGAGCACTGCACTGACAGGAGAAGTGAGTGGTGATTGTACTGTGGAAACTTGCAACACCAGATTGCTACCAGTCAGTGGACAATCATTTTGGAGTTGGAAAATCCACTGTGGGGGCCATTGTCATGCATGTGCACAGTGCCATTGATAGCCTCCTGCTATGCAGGAGTATGACTCTCAACCATGTGAAAGACATAGTGAATGGATTTGCACCAATGAAGTTCCTCAACTGCGGTGGGGTTATAGACAACACACAAATCCCTATTTTGGCACCAGAAACATCTTGCCACAGAGTACATCTGTTTTTCTATGGTTATGCAAGGTTTGATGGATCACTGAAGAAGCTTCACCAACACTAGTAATGATTGGTCAGGGAAGGCGCATGATGTATGCATCTGTAAGAACACAGAAAGCTACAAGCAGGGACTTTCTTTCCCAACCAGTAGTTTTCCACTGGTGATGCTGAAATGCCAATAGTGACCCTGTGGGACCCAACCTACCCTTTGCTCATGAAGCCATACACCCGCCACCTTGACAATACCAAGGAAAGATTCAACTACCAGCTCAGCGGTTACAGAATGACAGTTGAATGGACTTTGGGAAGACTGAAGGGACGCTGGTGGTATTTACTCACAAGACTGGATCTCAGTGGAAAAAAAATACCAATGGTTTTAGCTGTCTGCTGCATAATATCTGTGAAGCAAAGGGGGAAAAGTTGCTTCTGGGGTGGCTGTTTGCTGAGTTTGAACAGCCAGACACAAGGACTACTAGAACGTGGAGCTATACAGCTCAGGGAAGCTTTGAAAGGGCACTTCAACAGCAAGCCACAATAATGTGCTGTTTGGAACCTGTTGTGGTACTTGTTGTACATCTATGAATATAATAATGTTGATGTATCTATTAATTTTATGGTGCTTACTGTACATTTATGATTATTACCATGTTTGTCACTGATCCAATGAGTCATCTCACACTGTACAGTAACAATTAAGGGGGCGCTTTCAGAACCGCTAGGCATGCTGCAGCATATGTTGTGAACTAATAAAAATGAATTGTTTCCAAATAATAGAATTTTATTGAGTAACAAAACCAGTACAAAGAAAAAATCTGTGCAATTTAAAAGCAAATATGCTAAAAACTTAATAAATTAATGGAACAGAACTTAACAAGGGGGGAAAAAATCATGTCCATTTTAGCTACACATGCAGCAACTGTGGCTTTCACAGGTCAGTGTACATGAAGCTGTGGTTGTCCTTAATGGCCCCTGGTGTGGAGTGGTGGGGGTAGGGTTGCGACTCTTGATGCCATGTGGAATGTTGTGGGAGGTAGGGAAATGCTGCAAAGGAGCGCTCCA